ATATGAAATTTGTGGACTCTAGCATTTGAGTACATTTGCATGAATACTGAGAAAAGAAACCAGAAAGAGTCAACGAATAAAGAAGACAGAAACACTCATTTCTGGACTGAGCACTGCAGGTAATATATAAAGGGATTCAGTGGAACACACATTCCTATCAAGGCACACCACATTAATTGCCATCATTGTTGCTTAACTTATGAGTTCCGGAAATGGCAGAAGCTTCACATTCATCAGAAATCTGAATGAAGCAGCACTTCCCTACTAGTGGTCCACCCAGATCATGCATCAATGAATGAAAGAGCCCTATTTTGATGGATTCATCAAGTGGAGTGAATGTTCACATTTTATTGCAAAGAACAAGGACTAACACAATATATTAGGTAATGGGAAATACATAGTTTAGTGATCACTGAGATGTGCAGGGAGTCATAAAGTGGTGGGTAGGTGTGGTAGGTGGGGAAATGACAGATAAAGAATACACATGTATTTAATTTTTTATCTATTAAATTTTTACTAACCAATTTTTATTTGCCCAGCAATTTACTAAGCATTTGGGAGTACTATGGTTAACAAAGATAAGTTAGACTTCATCCTTAACCTTGAGATAGTCACAATCTACTTTAGATGAAAAATATCACAATGAAATGTAATTGCTTGCTCTAATTAAGGCATGCACAAAATTAGACTGTAGAAGGGAAAGAGCTATAAAATTTGCCTAAGAAGTAAAGAAAGATTTCACACATGTTGCGGCAGTTCAAATAATTCTTAAAGGCAAGTAAGTATAAAGCAGAACAAGAGGAAAAGAGGGCATGGAGACATGAAAGCATCATAAAGTATTGAATAAAAAAACACATGGCCTATTTGGGGGTTATGAATAAAAACATGACAGCATTTTTTAGAGCATTAAGTTGAATACAGAAATCTGAGTCCTGTTAAGAAAAGCTGTATGTTTAAAGCGGAGTTTATTTCTTAAGTAACAGGTTATACAATTATATGTGTGTATCTATAATGTGTGTCCATGCAATTCATACTAAATTGACCTATACTATAAATGATGTTGTGGCTGGAAATAAAGTGTCTTCACATGTGCCAGTGATCCTTAAACTTTATCATTCTTGGGACTCATATAAGGACCTGATAAAACTGAGGCTGCTAGACTCACATCTTGGAGTTTCTTTTCTTTTCTTTAAGATTTATTTATTTGAGAGGTAGAGTTACAGAGAAGAGTAGAGAAAGAGAGAAAAGTCTTCCATCCACTAGTACACTCCCCGAATGACCACAATGACTGGAGCTGAGCTGACCTGAAGCCAGGAGCCAGGAGCTTCTCCCAGGTCTCCCATGCAGGTATAAGGGCCTAAACACTTGGGCCATCCTCCACTGCTTTCTCAGGCCAGAGGCAGAGAGCTGGATTGGAAATGGAGCAGCCAGGACATGAACTGGCGCCAATATGGATGCCTCCGTCTCAGGCAGGACTTAGCCTACTCTGTCACAGCGCTGACCCCTGGAGTTTCTGATTAAGTAGATCTCCATGGAGTCTGAAGCTATGCCTTGTTAGCTTCTCAGGGATGATACTCTGATAACCATTGATTTGTAATTTTAAATGCAGAGATTCTTCTCTAGGAACACTAAGTTTCATTATATTGAGATGGACAATGAATATGGCATTCATAGTGATACAAAAAATATAATATGGGATATGGCATTGTGATGCATTGAGTTAAGCTGCCATTTTTAGCTCCCATATCCCCAGTCATAGTGCTAGTTACAGTCCTGGCTACCCACTTATGTTTCAATTTCCTGCTAATGTGCCTAAAGAAGCAGTAAAGATAGCCAAAGTATGTGGGCTCCTGCCTCCCATGTGAGAGACCGAAATGGACTTCTGGTTTTGGTAAGTCCCAATCTTGTCACTAGAGGGATCTGGGGAGTGGAGCTTATTAACAATCCAAGAGAAACAAAATGGTAACCACATTTTATAAATAAAATATATTAGAGAAGGCTTTGATAAATTGGCTGATGTTAAGGTGAAGACTTATAGGTAGTTGTACATGAGAGGGATCCCAACAATACTAAGAGTTACTTAGGCCAAGTAATCAGTACATTAATGTCACTATGCTAAATGCAGTCTCCCAACTTGGCTATAAAATCTTAACTAGTACGCATCCTTTCTATTTACAGTTTATTAATAAAGCTCAATGAGATATTCTCCATGGCTTTTTATCACTACTTAGAAAATTCAAGAAATTACAATTTCATTTATTGTTTTCTTGTAGAGGTGAATTACCTAAAATCCAATATGAAGTACTAGTAAGTGGTAATATATGCATTATATAAGCAAATAAACATGTTACCATTTACTAGTATATGAATATATACACAATCTCATATCATTAAGTTACTTTAGTAAAAATAGGCATTTCCTTTATTAATAACTGCAAATAACATGGTTTTCATATAAATGAACTCATGTATATTCACAAATTGGTTTCCACTTGATGAAACTATCATTTGTGCTGAGGTGGAACCTGAGAATTAATGCAAAGTGTGGTTTCTGGTGGAAATACCTCTGGAGCACATTCTGCTTTCTGAGGGATTTGCTAAATAGTCTCATCATAGGTTCTTCAATTTATTAATCTATTCACTCCTTTGTTTTTTCAACTTTTTTTGATGAGTTACTATATAATTGTCATTTAATTTTCCTTGAAATTATACAATTGCACACCTTGTCTGATTATTTTGAAAATTAGCCAGAATGGAAACAAAAGATTCCACTCATGTATTCTTTAGAACACACATTTTTCAAAAGTAATTAAAATGTTTATTTTCAAAAAGAAAATTATGTTGAAAAATAATGCAAACAGAAGCCACATGAGCTGACTTTGCAGCTGCAAGAATACAGGAACAATTCTGGCAGGACAGAAAACACTGGGGTGGGCTAACACCTGATTTTGTAACAAAGGGCAATATAAGAGTGAATAAATCACAATGAGATTGGAATGTAGACACCCATTGGAATGTAACAATATAAAAGTCATATAATAATAAATGATGGTGGCACTATGGGTAAATTGGAATAGCACTGATAATCAACCATTTTGGCAAACAGCCATATTGACCATGTCATAAAATGACTAAATATTGAGTTACCAAATGACCCAGAAATCCCACTCCAAGGAATATAGACAAGAAAATGTACACATGTCTCCACAAACACTTTCACACTCAATACTAATAACATAGTTATTCATATTTGGAAAAAATTAAAATGTCTACCATGCAATGAAGGGACAAATATACTTTTTTTTTTTGGACAGGCAGAGTTAGACAGTGAGAGAGAGAGACAGAGAGAAAGGTCTTCCTTCCGTTGGTTCACCCCAACAAATGGCCGCTATGGCCAGTGCACTGCGCCAATCCAAAGCCAGGAGCCAGGTGCTTCCTCCTGGCCTCCCATGCTGGTGCAGGGCCCAAGCACTTTGGCCATCCTCCACTGACTTCCTGGGCCACAGCAGAGAGCTGGACTGGAAGAGGAGCAAGCTGGACAGAATCCGGTGCCCCAACTGGTACTAGAACCTGGGGTGCCGGCGCCCCAGGTGGAGGATTAGCCAAGTGAGCTGAGGCACTGCCCAGGACAAATATACTGTTGTATATCCATACAATGAAATAGTCTTTGGTAATATAAAGGAATGAAGTACTGAGGACACATACATTCTAATGAACTTGGAAACATTAGGCAAAGTGAAATGCATCAGTCATAGAGTATCATATATTGTATTTTTTATGTAATATCAGTAATAATAAAAACCAGACAGACGGAAAGGAGATTAATGACTCCTGGAACTAGGGGGTGGAGTGTGATCTGGAGAATGATGGATATGGTGAATAGGAATTTCTTTTTGCAATTGTGAAAACACCTTAAAATTTATAGACAAATACAGGTAAAAATTTATGAATATTCTAAAAGAACTATATTTTGTACTTTTAAAGGATTAATTTTACATTTTGTGACTTCTATCTTAAGAAATCCACTAGAGATATTTTTTGTTTTATTTCCTCTGAGAGGAAAAAGAATAATTTAATTTTATAGAGTATTATTTTTGAGTGTGAATATTCCTAATTTCTAATATGGCTATGGTTCACTCATGAATGCAAGAGTATTTCACAAAGTTTATGGAAAATGGAATTAAGAGAATATTTGTGCGTAAAAGCTTTTGAAATCCATGTACAATATTTCATAATATGCATTTTCCATAAACTTTTTGCTGACCACTCATATTATACACTCTTTCTTAGATTATATATTATCAAACACAATATTGAACTGTGGATAATTGGCAGCTTTATTTCCCAATATATTAAGTAGAACTATATTGTTATGACAGTAGATCCATTGTGTTAGGATTTTACTAGAATTTCACCTTAACACAATTATACCACCTTTTTGGACTCAGAGATAATGATTTATATTGGTGCTTACTTTTTTCTGATCTTGGGTGTTTATTGCAATGCAATAGTCTGGAAATGAAAGGAATAAGAGTTTTCCTCAGCTTTATGTCATCTGATTTTCTTGAAGAGGAATTAGGCTTGCTGTTGAAATCCAAGACTTATTCTTTTACTATAAGTTGTATAGATGTGGATTGAACTTTAAACAAGGATTTTATATTGATAAAATGCTTCAAGTGCAATTGTAGATTTTCATTTCTTTTTATTCTAAACTGCCTCTTATGAAGTACCCTTCTTCTGACACATGAAAAAGTCTCACAATTGGAGACAAAACACTCAACTCAAGGATGAGGTTTAAGAATTCTGTTATGTCAGTTATCTACTACTGCACTGGCATTAAAGTAAGGAAAGCATAAGAAATGCATTTAGCAATATTTTATGCACTGCTACTCTTACATCAAATGTAAAAACAGTGAGAATTCTATTCTCAAGGAAATCACAGTGTAAGACTTCATGTACTGATGATACATTTCCTATCATTCATTCATAAAGTAGTTTACCGTTTTCTGAGGCAGCAACTGTGATGTTGTACCATGGAGTTTCCTCTCTGTCAAGAACTTTTGTAGTCTTAATGGTTCCAGTATTGGCATCAATGTTAAAAAATCTGTCATCTTCAGTATCATAGTTGATGAAGTACCTAAAACATAGAAAGATAAATTTTCTTTCTATTTGATTTTATAATGAATAAAATACAACTGAACTAAAGGAAATAGTTAAAATATATTATATATTACATTGTGCTTTTTATTTCTATATTTAATTCAAGATTTCTTTAGTCCTTATTAAAATTACTAATTAAAATAGTTTTAAAAATATTTACCAAATTCCATAAATTAAAAACAAATCATAGAAACACAGTATTTACAGGTGAGAAATAAAATAAAAATTGATTTTTGAGAAGTCTATAGTACATTATTAGAAACCATATAAACATAATAAATAAACCTTCACATTGCTATATATGCAATATTTTAGGATCATAGATGATGTTAAAAGTGAATTTACCTTGAAGTTTCATGGTAGCTGATGTTGGGACACAAATATAAAATGAAAAACAAAACATGTATATTTTATTACATGCTATTTTATTTCTTCACGTGGTGTGCTCAAACCTTTGTTTTGTAAAAGAATGAGAAAAAACAATAAATTAAGGTAGATTGTATTGTGGACCACACAGGTGCTTTCTCTAACTTGTGTAGTTTGGCATGGCTATCTTGCATTAGGTTTGGCCTTTGGCTTACTTGGCAAATAAATAACTGGAAAGTGATGATATCCATATTCTAGGCCCAGAGTTCATAGGCTTTTCCATGTTTCCTCTTATGTTCTGCCATGGCCACAAGAACTGCAAGTCCAGGTGCATCCTCCAGACCCAGGAAGTAGGACTAGCAGGGTGTTGTGCCAGCAAAAGCTTCCCAGTCTAGAGTCCAATTGCCTTGTAAGTGTGTAGATGCATGATTTGGTACACCAGAGATAAGTAGACCTGGCAAGCAAAATCCAACTTTACTTAGCTGGCCCTCAACTAGCTCATAAACATATGTGCTATGGCAATATGTGTATTTTCCATACCTCTGTTTCTTTCTGGTGTTAGGCACTATTCAACAATAGCTAACTAACATAGATTTAAAGGTTTCTTTGAAAACTTCTTTTTCAAAAGTTTTTTTGAAATTTTTTAAATAACATTTTCAGTGATACCTAGCAGGTAAAAAATCAACTAATCATTTGTCTAGGTGATATAGGACCTGAATTTTTTCATGATGAAATTGTGTATCTGCAGTTTTAAGATTTTTAAAATTTTATTTCATCACTATTATAATAGAATGAGTGTATGTTGAAGCTAGAAAATGTATAACCAGCTAAGAAGTATTAAGATATCTACTTCGATTAAAAGGTTCACAAAGGCTAAGCACTGGCTGGTTCTTTCCAGTAATGTATTGCAGCTCCCTGCGATTTGAAAGAGGCTTCCTCCTGAATGAACAAAAGTTTCCACATGAAGAGCAGGAACTACTGTCTGCTTCTGAGAAATCTTTATCAGAACATGAATTTTTAATTCCCTACTCAAATGTACATGAAATGATTTTCACTGGAAATTATATGAGATCAAAGCTCTTTTCTTTTACTGATACTAATATAGATGCAAGGCTTAGTCCCATAAGTGAATTAATATACAAACCAATTAACAAATATAATGGAAAATATGTTAATATTTAATATGAAATTAATTAAGGCACTTCATATATCATATCTTACATAAATATTTTAGTTAGAAATAATCATTTCAATAAGTTAATATATCATACCTTTGTATACCAATATTTATTCATATTAGAAAATATTTATAGATTTTAATATAATCCTATATATAGATTCCTTTTATTTTTTGAAATTTTTTAAAAAATATTTTATTTATATAAATGGAACAAATTTTATGCATCCCATACATACAGTTTTAAGAACATAATGACACTTTCCACTCCATCCTCTCTCCCTCCCTTGTTCCTACCCTTCCTCCTATTTACTTTCTTATTTTTCTTTTAATTTTAATTTCTTTTTAAGTTTAACATTTTCTTTTCTTTGAGAACAAGTTTTATCATTAATTGAAGAAGCACCTAAGTAAATAAGCAATGGAGTTGGGCACTTAGCCTTATCTAAAACTTATGAGACATAAGAATATCCTCCACTTAATACACCAAAATGAAGTAAATCTTTGAGAACAAGTTTTACTATTAACTCTCATAATACAACTCTTTGAGGATAGAGGTCCTGAATGGGAAGTTAGTGCATGGTACTCCTGTTGTTAATTTAACAATTAACACACTTATGTATGATGTCAGTGATAACCTGAGGCTCTTGACATGAGCTGCCTAGACTGTGGAAACGTTTTGAATCCACAAACTCCATCAGTAGGTAGACAAGACCATAAGGCAAATTGGAAGTTCTCTCCTCTCTTCAGAGAAAAGTACTTCCTTCTTTGATGACTACTTCTTTCCACTGGGGTCTCACTCACAGAGGTCCTTCATATAGGACACTTTTTGCCACAGTGTCTTAGCTTTCCATGCCTGAAATCCTCTTTTGAGGTTTTCAGGCTGACAAGAATGCCTTAAGTTGTCATGCTGAGGTCAGAGTGCTACTTTAAGAAATTGTCTTTTTATGAAATAATAAAAGATGAATATTATTTCTATGAAATAATAAAAAGTTACAAAAGTTATTGGTTAGATGAATACAACAAATAACTATTTTTATCATCTGCATTTGGCTTATTTTCTTTTCCACTAAGAATATATAAACTGAGAAAAAGAACAAATTAATACTTCTCATAGTATTTCATATAACTCAGAGTTTGGAAATTATTTTAAGCTAGGATATAATTTATCAATTACTAAATCTCATTCTTTATACATCAGATGAAATATAGGAAAAAGAAAAATCACTCCATAGAACATTTGGTTAACATTTTAGAGAAATCTGCAGGCACAAATGGCCAAAAGTGTTAACACATGGGGAAAATGTTGAGATATATTCAAGAGCTGCTCTAATATGATGGTGACACACTGTTAGAATTCTATCATCACTATATTTTCACTATATCCTGTGTAAAATGTGCATCAAAATAGTAATTATACTAAGTGCTACTTCAGAAGATATATGATCACCCATCAATAAGATGTCCCCTATGAAGTATTGGTATTCTATTTGCATAATAAAGGAAGTGTAATTAAGGCAGTGTTAGCTCAGATTTGTCTACAGTTCTGAGAAGCTTCTGTATTGCACACATCCTCTATGACAATCCTAACTAACTACTTTTATATTGTTGGGCAAATGAGCCCACTTAAGCATTCAGAATCGTCACTATCCATACTATGATACATAAATACATGTAATTTTTTTTGACAGGCAGAGTTAGACAGTGAGAGAGAGAGAGAGGGAGAGAGAGAAAGGTCTTCCTTCCATTGGTTCACCCCCCAAATGGCTGCTACAGCCAGTGCACTGCGCCAATCCAAAGCCAGGATCCAGGTACTTCCTCCTGGTCTCCCATGCGGGTGCAGGGCCCAAACACTTGGGCCATCCTCCACTGCCTTACAGGGCCACAACAGAGAGCTGGAATGCAAGAGGAGCAACTGGGACAGAATCCGGTGCCCCAACCGGGACTAGAACCTGGGGTGCTGGTGCTGTAGGTGGAGGACTAGCCAAGTGAGCCACGGTGCCAGCCAAGTTGTAATTTTTATTCCTACAAATATTCTGTCCTTTCATACAACATAGGTGCATTTTTTCTTTCTAGTAAATATACTACAAAATAGCAAAAAGACTTAAAGGAAAATATGTTACTTAGAAATAAGATGGAAATTCATTATTTGGGGCTAGAGCTATGGCATACCAGGTTTGTTGGGAGTCACTGTGCTTGTTTCCCTGTATAGGCCTTTGTTTAAACTAACCTTCAGCTGTGTTCCTGTAAGGAGGATTCACTAGAAAATTCCATTTGTACAACTCACTGATATGGTTAGCGCTTGGCCTTCTGGCTTCAGTGCTCTCTTTCTTGTACCTTGATAAGCACATCTGGTAGCTGTAAGACCTTGCTGTAACTCCCTTTGTCAAATTGATACTGGTTCCTGTGAAATTATTCCTTTGATCTATGTTGTGAGATGACCCCTGCTTATCCTCGACTGTACAATTCTTGCCTTATACTATATAAGCCACCTCCTTCTCCAATAAAGTTGAGACCTTGATCAGAGTACTGTCTTGGTCTCCCTTCTTGTGCCTGGTTTGTCTCTACATTCAGGTCTGCCCTCCTCATGTCCTAGTTGATTACCCCACGGGCCGGGGCACAGGTTAGGCCTAACATGTGATGCCTGCATCCCATGTGGGCTCCAGATTGAGCCCTGGCTGCTCCACTTGTGATCCAGCAACCTGCTAATATGCCAAGGAAGGCAACGAAGATGGCCCAAGTGTTTGGGCCCATGCACCCACATGGGAGACTCAGAAGAAGCTTCTGGATCATGACTCCAGTCTCGCCCAGCCCCAATTGTTGAGGCCATTTGGGGAGTGAACCAGCAGGTGGAAGTGCTCTCTCTGTGTGTCATCCCTCTCCCTCTCTCTGTAACTCCGCCTTTCAAATAATAATTAAATTTTAAAAGAAAAAAAATTCATTATTCAAACTAGTACCCCATGAATCAACAAATAGATAGACAAACTATGACCATAGTAATTAGTGACAAACCCATGGCCAGAATTCTATTGAATAGGGAAAAACTTGGAACCAGAAAAAGATGCCCACTCTCACCACTGCTATTTAACGTAGTCCTGGAAGTTTTAATCAGAGCTATTAGGAAAGAAAAATAAATCAAAGGAATACAAATTGGAAAGGAGGAAATCAAACTATCCCTATTTGTAGATGACATGATTCTATACATAGGGATCCAAAAGACTACATGAGAGACTATAGGAATTTATAAATTATAAATTTATTTAATTATAAAATTATAATTAATTATAATTAGAAATTATAAATTCATTTCATTATAAGAATATAAATTATATATAAATTTATAAAGTATGGTAAATTGGCAGGATATAAAACCAACACAGAAAAATCAGTAGCCTTTGTATACACAGACAATGTGATGGCTAAGAAATAACTTTAAG